ATTAATGTACTCATCTAGCCACTGGGCTTTGTTAACTATACTTAACAGTGTGAAAGGCAGCATGGTGTAATTAAGGGGCTGGATTAAGAATGGGGAGAGCCTTTAGGCAGACAAGCCGCTGTGTGAGCCTGGCCAGTTGCTCCCTCTCAGCCCTAATCAGCATCAGGTTCTGTGACAAGACAGCTGATAAGCAACATCCCCCTACCCACCCCCGGGTGAGAACTAGAGGAGCACAGTGCAAAAACAAGCAGACTCTGCAACTATGCAGGATAAGTACTAAAAAATAGTTATTGCTCAGTGTTTTGTGTGAATCAGGATACAATGGCTTGTTCAGCAAACCATGGTTAAAGCAAGCAATGGCTTAGCATAATCTCTAAACCCAGTCACTAAGTTCTGGTGAGCTAATAGGTAAAATTGTACGAATTGGACCTAGAAACAGGTAATTCTGTACATGTGTTTTGTAAAGCTATTCATTAAATATTTTAAAGTTTTTCACAAAACATCAACTTAATAAATTATAAATAACAATTCTGAAAAGCATGCAATAAAGAAAGCACCTGAAGACAAAGTCAGAAGCACAGTGATCAAAGATTTACAGTGAACATAAATGCCATGATCATGAGCTACATTGTTTTAAGAGTTTCTCTCTTTTCTGAACCCTCAGGAAATTACCCATACATTTCTTTCTTTCTTGAGCTAGAATTTCTTCTTTTTTAAATGCTACAACATCTAACAGGTCAAATTTATAACCTCCTGCATCACAAATCATTTCCTTCTTTGCTTAACACTGTTATTTTGTTATCAAACTCACAAACTCTGCTTAGTGCTCCCTTCCAAACCCAAAAGAGAAGCCAACCATACTGAGTTCCACAGAATGCCCTAATAGAGTTTCATACAAAGTGCTGAAGAGGAAACTGCATATGAGAGAGAAAGGCTGCTAATGTATGGTTCATTCACAGTTCTGTAAAAGTACAGGTTAGAAGTACAGCTTGTTTAAGGATTTAATGATTTGTCCAAGTATTTGGAGAAATTGAGCTAGTCACAGAAATTGCAGAGGACATATATGCTCATGATTTTATCCTTCCAGTGCTTAAAAATAAGATTCATACTTCTATTACATTTTAGAACATAAGACATTTATAAACAACCATACACATTCCCTGCAGCTATAGAGGAACAGCTTCTGATCAATATTTCAATGAATCAATTAAAATGAAAACATTACATTTTGCTCAGAGTATTTAAAGGCTGTAGGCTGATTCCTGATCCAGTATCATTAACATCAACAGTAGCACTAGGGTCCACAGTTAATGCGTCCCCAGACATATCCCTTGTCATCCTTCAGCACCCACTGACTTGTGGCAGCCATACTTATCATAGCAGCTGTATTTTAAATGGTCAAGCCTCCCCCCACGGCAGCCATGGCACCAGAACATACTCCTAACCTTCCAAATGTGGTCATTAATCAAGAATCTGGGGAATCCTGCAATAATACTCTGCAGTAGCACACACACAAGTGTTACAGATCTGTGCTTTGTAGGATGCATTAAGTTTTAATAATAAAGCTGATCACTGCAAAACACAGAGAATCAAGAGTGTGTAATTATTTTTAATTATCTCTCCACAATTACAGTAGTTTTCAATTGGTGGGACTCAGTTTCTTTTCCCATAGCAAAAAACCCTTGAAATCCCATCTAAAATTATCACAGACATCTTAGCAAGGAGGCTGGAAACTAGATCCAAGCCATGCTTTTTTGTTCTAAGAGGTTCTTTTCAATCCTTTTCCCTTGATTCCACTACCCAATAATGTTCTTAATAACTTCAATGCCTCAGCTGTCCATGGAAAGTACTTCTTGTTTGGAAAACCCGAGCTGCTGCTCTGATATTGAACAAGCCAGGCTTTTCTGTGCCAGCTGTGGTTTCTAAGTAGTTAGGTATGGGGATGAGCAACTTATCTCAGATAAATTAATGAATTACCTGTACAAACAAGTTATGCTGGTATTGTCAAATCACACATTCAAAGACCTTAATTATGAAATATATTGTCTGGCGTTTGGCCATCATCAGCCTAGCCACTGAGGACTTGAGGTCCTCAATCACCAATAAGTGTCCCCCATGCCCAAGATTGCTTAAATTATCAAAATAAAACTTCAATAATCCCAGGTCAACACATAAATAGTGGTCATTATAACCAGCACAATCAAAGTCTGGCTTCTCAGAATTATACATGACAAGTCGAGAAAACTGGATGTGTCAATATGGAAGGAGGACAGTTTGGATTCCTGGATTATTTCTTATGATTGCAGTCTTATTTTGACAAAGCATGTTAATTATCCCATTGTGGCTGTTAATTCATTAGACTTGACACTCTCTGTCTTTGACATCTTCTTTTAAATTGAAATTATTGTACATGAAGTCTATTTTGTAGAACTATAATTATGATAAATATATTTATTTTTACAGTCAGACAAAGGAAATTCACAAGGAGGGAAAAAGATAACTTGTAAACATCAACAGAAGGAAAAGGTTTAGCCAACACGATGACTTCAGTCTCCTGCAACTTTGCTTTGTTTTAATATTTTAATTAATTTTCAAGGTCCTGTACAGTATGATCTGGGTAGCTCTATAATTTAACTGCTTCCATATTAAATGCATTTTCTTATTTAAAGTTATTTTTAACAGTTTATCTGTTTTTTAAAAAATAAAGCTTTATCTTGTTTATCTACAGCAAGATTGATCTATCTCCCAAGAATGGAGAAAAGAAGGGTGAATCTTCAGTCATTTGCCTCCACACTATAAAGCTAGTAGAAATTATTGTAACTTTGTATTTTGAGCTTTTAATTGCCAGAAAGGCAGTACAAGTGTAAGAACTCTCTCTCATACACACCAGGATTAGGAGTGGATAGTAATTTAGGTGCCCCTTGGAAGATGGGTGGTGGTAACAAAGACTACCAAACTGCTACTCCAAAGCAGTAGATGGGCCAGGTTCTGAGGACCCAGAAGATTTCTGGAGGAAGAGTTTTGGGACTTTCAATCTTCTACCTGCAGGTCTCAGAAATCAATAGTAATGATAATACACAAAAATGGTAACGAAAGTTTTCAAATACTTCCACATGAACAGACTGGAAAATTAGGGCAGAGAAGAATACATTTGTCACACACACCTATGGTTCAGCATGATTGTTCAAACTTGGCCAATATCTTGTTCATATTTATGTTTAAATAAATCAACTTTTTAATTATTTCACATCTCAAAATTTTCATAATTGTCTCTAGAACTTACCAAATTCCTTGTACCATCAGGAGCAGCTAAGTGGCACTGGATGTAAGAATTAAAAACCTGAACAGCATGCTGGGTAAAGAAGCCTTTATGGAAATGTTTATCATCTTGCACCAATGTAAGCCATGATTCCAAGAGCTTGTCATACGCCTCCATATATACCATGTCATCTTTGTCAAGCTAAATAAATAAAGCAAAAATACTAATTACCCAAAAGTTGTCTAAGCTTTCATCAATGTTTACTTAGTAAATCTGCAAGAATAAAATATTTCCATTAGTTGTCTATTTACCTACTTCTAATTCTTAATGTGTGAACAATACTTATTTTTACTGCCAAGTGTTTGCAGTAGGCTTTTATAGCAACAGATAATTTATTGCAATTTGAACCCAATGCAATATAAACCTTCACAGCATCCAAAAAGCTAGTTGCACAACTGGAGTACCATATGATATTCCTTCCCATTAGCTATGTCTCTTACTCGCTTGTCAAACTGTTCTACAAGTTCCCTCAAGCCTTTGAACCAATTTTTCAGGGATATGAAAAAGAAAGTTCTGTTTTAGGAAAAGAACTCTCTTCCAGTAAATTGGTGTTATCTTTAAAACAGGAAACAAAATATATATCATAATAAAACACAAATGTATGTGTGTGAGAGAGAAATATGTTTCTTTTATGCAAACTAACAGGATTTAAAACAAGTCAAAAAAACATTTACCTCCCAAACAAAAATAAAAACCCAGTGGTAGCTCAAAGATAGTTTATCAGAAAGTTTTCTGCAAATTTTGTATGTATGTACAGAACAAATGTTCAATCTATGGAGTCAAGGTGCTCAGGATGGCATGATTTTCCTATCTTTATGTTGTTTATATCAAATGTTGTTTATGTAGAACCAGTGTATGTTTTTTCTTTAAGAAATTTAAATTCCTTTAAGAACTGAGAGTCAGATTAATGTAATACTGGGCTAGAAAATGGGAGACTATGAGTTCTAGTTTTCCCTTAGGCATAGAAGCCAATGGGATTAACTTTTGGATGGTCACTCTTACTCAGCCCCCTGCATAAGGTTGTTGTTGTGGGGAAAGTAGGAGGAGAGAGCATTATGTATGCTACCTTGAGTTGTTCAAAATAAAGGGGGGGTTTATGAATCTAATAAATAAATAAGAATTAAATCCTACTTAGGCATTGGATTTGCTACAGTGCTAGAACAATTAATAGATAAGTTCTAGATAATAAATAAATACGTTTTACACAGCCTTTACAAATCTGTTACTGACATTCTGTTTTTCTTGTTAATAATAAAAACACATTAGCAAAAGCTACTTAGAAAATTAAATAGGCCATTCCCTACGTAAAGTTGGAGTTGTTAGTTCTACATACTGTTTAAACTTATGACCTTCCACTTCTTGATATTACCACATAAAAATTACTTTCACTAAATGTCACCTTCTTGGCATTTACCTTTCCTTCACTTTCCCTACCGAGAGATGTGCAAAATCCACATGCCTATTTACAGAGCTTCTGGGGAAGAAACGGTGGACTGAAGATGAGCCAACAACAGCAGCGGAATGAAGAGCCGGCAAGTAGACCGACTCTTCAATAATTCCTCTCCAGACAAGGAGAGGACTTGAGATTACCCACAAGTGCTCCAGACAGCTGTTCCTTGTGAGGAGACCACACAAGATAGTGGTCTCCGGCAGGTTTAGAGCTCTGGGAGATGAGGGAATAACCATCTTGCTCAAACTGCAGTTGGTGCCTTTGAAAGGACACTAAGGTCATGTACTTCTTTTTCTAATCACTTTTGGAAATTTTAACTACTTTTTAGCTATTAGGAACCTTTGGATTAACAAGTTGGGTGGGTTTCCTTCAATCCTTAGCGAAAGAAGTTTTAACTACAAGTTTAAGAACTTAAAATTTGGGGGGGGAATAAACAGCAAGAGGGTGATTAAAACTTTGATTTTAGAAAATAGAGTCAGCTGGGGTCTCCCCTTAAGGCTTGAAATAAGATTTTGGAATTAATTATAAAGAATCCTTCTGGTGGGAAAATGCTTTTGTTTAAAATTTGGGGGGGGAATAAACAGCAAGAGGGTGATTAAAACTTTGATTTTAGAAAGTTACAAATGGACTAAGGATCCAGATAAATTTGAAATAAGATTTTGGAATTAATTATAAAGAATCCTTCTGGTGGGAAAATGCTTTTGTTTTGAGTTAAAAAAAAACCCATAAGATAAGACTTTAAGAATTGGACATTAGAGGGAACTAATTTACAATTAAAGGCGAAGAACACTTGAACTTGACTTACAATAATGAAGCAAAATATTTTAACATTGGACATACTGAAGAATATTTTTGAATAATAGACCCAGAAATTAATTTTAAGAGTGTTTGTTTCTATAGATAGACTGTGCCTAAAAGATGTTATGGAAGAGGAACAAGTTCTACCTGACAAGATTGAGACTGACTTGAAAGTGGATTTAAAAATGACAGGCTACAAGAATGATATGGAAAAAATGTTACACTGGACATGCAAAAGAAACTCATTAAAAGGGATATACAAACAACAGACCAAGAGAGTGACCTGGATAATTCTACTATATTGGATTTACAAATGAGGCTTGTTAAAATTTTGAAGAATTTTGTGAGAAGGGACAAAGAAAAAATGAAAAGAAATCAAGTTCTATGACATTATCTGAAGGGAGTAAAGATTAAGGTTGTTAGAAGTAAACAGAAGGAATATAAAGTTGGTTTATTTGATCAAGGTTAAAATAGATATGTTGCTATCTCTAGTAACCCTTAATGGACTTTTCCTGATATCAGAACTGAAATGATGAGGTTTTATGGATTTCTTTATAGATAAGAGATGGGATATTGGAAGATTAGATAATTTGCTGTACTTTAAGAGAAGGTGATAAGTTACTAAAATTGTTTATACTTGTGATGAAGGTAGGAAGTCACTTCTTTATATATTTCTTTT